TCTGTTTTGGGTTTGTGCTGAAACCAGTGTTGATAATTCAGGGATGTTTTCATTATTGCTGAGCAGGGCTTACACAGAGTCAAGGCCTTTTCTGCTTCTCACCCCACCCCACCAGCGAGTAGGCTGGGGGGGCACAAGAAGCTGGGAGGGGACACAGCCGGGACAGCTGACCCCAGCTGACCACAGGGATATTCCATACCATATGACGTCATGCTCAGCATATAAAGCTGGGGGAACAAGGAGGAAGGGGGGGACATTTGGAGTGATGGCATTTGTCTTCCCAAGTAACCGTTACGCGTGATGGAGCCCTGCTTTCCTGGAGATGGCTGAACACCTGCCTGCCGGTGGGAAGGAGTGAAGGGATTCCTTATTTTGCTTTGCTTGAGTGTGTGCTGCTTTCTTTACCTATTAAACTGTCTTTATCTGAACCCACGAGTTTTCTCACTTTTACCCTTCCGATTCTCTCCCCATCCCACCGAGGGGGAGTGAGCGAGCGGCTGCGTGGGGCTTAGTTGCCGGCTGGGATTCAACCACAACACTCTGCTGGCCATTTCTGATACATCCCAGCTGAGGTGAGCTCAGACCCAGATTTGTGACCTTTACACTGACGTGCTGAAATGAATAATCAACTTGAATTTACAGTGTCAGAAGGTGATGTCAGCGGGGAGTACTCTTGTTTTTCTTCCAAAGCTAGTCATTACAGCAGTCAATTTAACATAATATCATCATACGGTCGAAAGGACCGTATTGACTCCCCTGAGGGGTCACTCTTCTGCTGCTCTCCTGCCCTACCCGCTTCTCTTCCAGCCAAGCGCAGCGTAGTGCTGGGCTGTGTAACTCATTGCTCCTGGTTCCCGGGAGCATGTGCTCAGATGACAGTGACCACTTAGTGTCATTCAAGGACATCGTGCATCCCACACGGCATAAGAGCCTCCAAGTGTCAGTGAGCTCCTGGTTTCATTAAAACTGCTTCAGGGAAAACATTTTGGTTGACAGGAGCAGAACCTTTGCGGAGCTGGATGAGGGAAATGGTATTGTCCAAATAAAGGCAATTTAATGAATATAAAATAAGTGCTGACTTTTTAAAGAAGATGAATATTCATCTCTTCCTCTTCATACCTGTGTTTTCCCTTTCTTGTGCTATTTGTTGGAAACATGTGGAACGAGGTGGCACACAGAGTCAGTTTCTCCAGGAAGCCAATTTCCGTCTGCAAATGCAGGAACCGGTGTTGAAAGTGAAAATGAATCCGCAGGGAGGAGGGACCAGAAAAGAGAGGGGGAGAGCAAGACAGGGACGGGGGCAACACGGCATTTCCAGATCTCTACCTTAAACCCAGATTACGGCCATTCCCGTGTCTGGAAACAAGTTTTCTACTTCCCTGTTGCATCCCAGGTCTTTTAAAAACAGGGATGACATGTAGGACCCGCAGCTAAACCTCTCCTTGTAAGGAACCGCGGGCGCTGCTCGCGGCCAAGGCTGCCTTTGCGCGTTCCCCCGCCCCTCTCCCGCTGCCGGGCGGC